ACAGGTCTGGATCAGAGAAAGCCCTAGAGCATTTTGTTTATGGAAAGGCTCTTTTATTGGACACAGCAAGTCTGACACAAAGGGATTTAAACATGATATCGGTGTGTTGCAGGTAACAAAACAATGGAATGGGCTAGTCAAGGTTCTACTGGACAACAAAGCAGACATCGTTATGACTGCTCTGAAAATCAACCCGGAGAGGGCAGAAGCAATTCGTTTTTCGATGCCATATTTGGAAACTGGGATTAAGATTATTGTAGCAATCAGAGATGGTGCCATTTCTCCAATTGCCTTTTTAGGTAAGTGTGATTTCTTAGTTTCCTAATCTAAACGGGTGTTTGGAAATTTATTCAGAATTATTTTTTCCATAATTTATATCTTTTCCAAAACTTTATCATCATCATTATCATCAGAACACCACCCCCCCCCCCTTTTTCGTGTGGATTTCGGGGTCGCATTAAGAGGTAAACAAGAAGGGTCCCACTGACTCCCAAATAAAGCATGTCTTAGGAGTCAACTAATTGGTGTCTTCCTTCAAAAGCGGAGTGCATCTGCCTGAGAGGCAAGGTACCTGTGTCTGTATACAAATAAGTAAGATTTACAAAACGGACGTACACACAAAACTCAGGCCTTGGAACAAAGCCAAAGTCCAAAAATGGACGAACAACCAGGTCTTGCTGCCGGGTTTCACAGTCGGTAAACGCAAACAACATTGTCATCATAATCTGTAGAATGATGATCCTTTTATGAGTGTCATTTTCATCTTGAAGTCATTGTTGTAATTATCCTTCATCTCCGCCTAATCTTCATCGGCATCAACATCAAAAGTCATGGTCACCATTATAGTCCTTGTTCTTCTTCTGATATTTTAACCCCCAGTGGTGCATTGACCTTCAAACAGCTCACGCCAAGTCGTTCTATCCTTCGCTATCGTAAGCAGATCTCCCCATGTCCTTCCCATCACTCTCTGGCTGCCTCTTCTGTTTTTTTTTTTTTTTTTTTTTGGCTCTTCCTCTATTCTTCTGCCCATGTCCGTTCCCTTGCAAAGACATTCTGGTTATACTGTTCCTATGTTTTCTCTGTGTGTGTCCTATCCCACACCAGCGTCTTTTTATCACCTCTCAGTCCAGTGGAACTTGTTTGATCTGTTCCCTACCCAAGTGAGTCCATCATACCATTTAATTCTGCGCAGGCACCAGTTAATGAATGTTTGTAATGAGTGTTTTGCAGCCACACCAAGCTATATAAGATACTGTTTTTTTTTTTTTTTTTACTCAAAGCATCTGAGAGGAATTCGAGGGGAAGACTAAGAAAGAGATATATGATTTAGCTGAAACCCCCAATAAGATGAACAAATCCATCACCAAGTTCATACGAGAAGTGCAAGACAAATACAGAAAACTACGACATGGGGCTACAACCTGGTATCAGTGAGACGACAAAACCACGACACTGGGGTACAACCTGGTATCCGTGAGACGACAAAACCACGACACTGTGCTACAAACTGGTATCAGTGAGACGACAAAACCACGACACTGGGCTACAACCTGGTATCAGTGAGACGACAAAACCACGACACTCTGCTACACCTTGGTATCAGTGAGACGACAAAACCACGACACTGGGCTACAACCTGGTATCAGTGAGACGACAAAACCACGACACTGTGCTACAACATAGTATCAGTGAGACGACAAAAACACGACACTGGGCCACAACCTGGTATCAGTGAGACGACAAAACCACGATACAAACTGGTATCAGTGAGACGACAAAACCACGATACAAACTGGTATCAGTGAGACGACAAAACCACGTCACTAGAAAACAGCCTGGTATCAGTGAGACGACAAAAGAAGACAAAGATTGCCCATAATGTACAACGATGTAAAATAATGGCAAATCTACAACAAAGGCCAATTCAGGCACCAATGCAATAATTTAAAATTATCATATACAAGCGGTGGCGTGGTGAACAGGTTCTTACCAACCCACCTGAGTATTTGTGGGTTGAATCTCCATCTATTAGAATTTTGAAAAAATAATTATAAGGTTTCAAGAAATAATTAGACAACTATAAATTTAAGGTTGCCACCAAGATGTGGAAGAACATCTGTTTCGGAGTGTCCATCATCACTATCATCATCATTTTCCTGTTGTGTCATTATGTGACACATCGGGCTGCAGTTTATTGTTCCATTTCGTTCTATCCTGTACAGTGAATTCAAAATCATAGACACAATCCAGACTAGCACATTTGGCCTCTCTCATCAACGTTCACTTTATGGTTTCTTTTGGGCGTTCTTACATCCCCAATTCCCATATTTCCCATTTAAGTGCCTGCTTGGTGATTCTCTGCCCAAGTCACCATCTTCTTTGTCTTTTAGGTGCACTACCAACCCAAACATCTTCGTGTTAATTTGTTCAGTCTGAATGCTTTAATGAAAATTGTGTTTAAACATCGCCATTCCATCACCCATTTATCACTGGGACCGCT